TATTGAATTCACACGTGTACTTGCATTCAATCACTGTGATATATTCTCTAAATATAACCAGTTGGGTTATTCTTGTGTTGCAGGTGTGAGAAACCATGCCCAGTTGGTTTCTATGGCAGGAACTGTTCCTCCGTGTGTGATGATTGTGGAAATGGCAGCTGTGAGCGCACGAGCGGCATGTGCACCTGTGATACAGGTAGATAATTAACAATTCTTACCTGTGATACAGGTAAATAGAATTCTCGCCTGTGATACTGGTAAATAATTAACATGTGAAATACATAATGAAAAATGAATGAATGAATGAACAAATTTCTACCTGTGATACAGGTGAATAATTAACAAAATTTCTACGAACACTGTAAAGATGATCTTTGTATTCAAAAGCAGCGCACAGTTGCTGCTTGCTGCTCCTAATATCGAAACAACTGTAAAATGATTCTTGTATGTAAAAAGGCGCAAAGTTGCTGCTTGCTGCTCCTTAATATCGAAGCACTGTAAACTGATCTTTGTATTAGAAAAGCAGCAAAGTTGCTGGCTTGCTGCTGCGCTAATATCGAATCACTGTAAACTGATCTTTGTAATTAAAAGCAAGCAATAGTTGCTGCTTGCTGCTCCTACTATCGAACCCTGTTATTATAATGAGACATTTGTAAGCAGCAAAGTTGCTGCTTGCTGCTCCTAATATCCGACCCTGTATAATATGCTCTTTGTTAAACGGCAAAGTTGCTGGCTTGCTAATTCGAACTTTGCCAGCAGTGAGCACACCCGACACACACCGGTGGACGCGATGGATTAAGTCGTTAGATGCTAGGTTACGTACGTACGGCTCGCAGCGTCGGCCCTGCCAGCCCGCCTGCAGTTTACGAGACGCTCGTCACGTGGTCCACAGTGGCGTCGTTAGGCACACGTTGCAGTTCTCCGGCGGCATCCGCGCGCGTTAGAACCTTTCCACCTCACCACTGCCAATAACGGCGACACCACACGTCATGAATCATCGTTGTACGTCCATGGTTTGTGGCACACTACACCCTCTCTCGTTCCGCCGTCTCCCCCACCAACCCCCACATGAAAGTTTCCCCCTTACGTTCAACCGTTCCTTCATCTCCCGTTACCTTCCTTTATGCCTTCCTCCCTTCCTTTCTCTCTGCCTTCCTCACCTTCTTTCTTGCTTCCCTCCCTTATCTTCATATCCACGCGATCTACTCGTGGCAGTGACTGCGGAGTGTGACATCACTCTCATTGCAGTCCCTCTCGTCGTGTAGCGCTTCCTGCATTCTCCGTCTCGCCCCACGCTGAGAAAGTTTCCTCCCCTTCACTTCCCCCACGATCGTACTCTAGCAGTGACTGTACGAGTGTGACACTCCATCTCATTGCAGCCTCTCCATGTAGCCTCCAGCTGCAGGTTCCTGTCAGTGGTGACACTACGTCAAAATGGATGCGACGTACACGTCTGTGAGCAGTTGACGAACAAAGTAGCCCTTCTGGCAAGGATGGTCACACTACACAAGGGAATAGACTCGTGATGCATTAAACATCATAACACCACTGCTGGAATCAGTTCAGAGAAGCACCCACTGGCGGCACCTGACTGCACAAGGCAGGTCTTCGTAATGTTTTTGGGGCAAGGTAAATGCTTCCTTAAAGTTCTATCAGCAAATTTTAGTGCCCACTGTCCCACAAAACCTTACCTTAAAATCTCACGCTGCTCGCATTAAAGACTTAACCTGTCCCCACCAAAACCATACCTAAAATCTTTTCACCTGCTTGCATTAAAACCTTACCTAAATCTCACCTGCCGCATTAAGACCTTACTGTCCCCACAAACCTACTTAATCTCTCAACTGCTCGCATTAAAACCTTACCCTGTCCCCCCAAAACGTTACCCTAAAATCTCCCGCTGCTCGCATTAAAACGGCTTACTGTCGCCACACACAATCTTTACCTATTAACCTCAATCTGCTGCGCATTTCTTACCTGTCGCCGCACTATAACGGCAGCCAGACAGAGACACTCCCCCGTGACGTGAATCGGCAGGAACCTGCTGTTGCGACACTGGCAACGGCAGGAGCACTGTGGGCCGTCGAACGTCGCCGTCGGTGAGTGACACCGCATCCTGGCCACACTTCTCCGCGACGGTAGGCCGTCGACACTGTCAACAACGACGACAGACAGACGCACCCGCGTGTTACCATATACCCTATTACAATTACAATTACAACTTACATTACCATTAGCAATTACAATTAGGAATTACAATTACAATTAGCAATTACAATTAGCGTATCCACGTGCACCGATCAGCACGCAGTTATAGCAATCACTGTTGTGTTAGGGTGTTTCTAAAAACAATGTTGGCTGAGGATGTGCCACAGGGTTTGACGGTTTGGCGTGCTCGTTAAAAAAAGACTTGCCTAGCCTGGCCTATGCTTGGCTGATCTCAGTACGAATATTTAAGAAGGGCGAGCTATCTCACTCGAAGCATAGATCAGTTACATATAAGACCGTATTCACATTAAATTAAAAATAGAACAATATTAGGTAGAGTCACGCAGACTTGTATCTCCCCCTGACGTTCATGATTAAACCCAGGTTCTGTATGTAAGTTCACCGAGTCATTGCAGCTTGCTGACTCAGACTAAAACCTCAGACAAAAACTTATAAAGGTTGACAAGGTGCGAGGTGAAGCCATCTGTGTAGGGCCATAACACACAATAGTTGATGCCTGGAGACGTAAACAATGCATCATCCGTCCCGTCGGTCGTAGCTTTCATTCCATCGTTCTACGTATGATATTCTTACCCTACGGCACGATCTTACGCTGCACATGCCAGTGTAGGGTTACCTCTCTCTGTCCCACTACACCAGTCACAGAATATGTGGCCACAGTCGGATCAGGCCTCTCTTGGCATTCCTCCTGGCAGCTTCACACTGAGCCTAACACAAGATAAAATATCGTAGCAGAGATGATTTCTGACATTTATGCATTTCCAAAAGCAAAGAGGATTGCTAGCTAACATTCGTAAAACGCAAAAAGCGCCAAGAGCAAGAAATGGACAGGCATATTGTCGCGTGGTATCACAGGCAAGAATTCTGTCAAGTATTCTGTAT